CCAGGTGAGGTTAATGCCCAGGAATGTGAGTGCAGAACCACCCCCCCAAGTGGCTTTTTACCTCCTTTCCTGCACTGCTGTCCACCAGCAGCCTCAGAATGCTTCAGCTGAATGACACAAGCACTGCAATATTAAATATAAATTCAGACAACAAATTCGGGGGACAGGGAGCCATTTGAGAGCCATTCGGTGACTCACAGCATTGCAAAACAGCCCAACCAAAATATAACGGTGAGTCAATCTCTCCTTCACCATTTCAACTAATTTGAGCCCATACTTGAAGCAGTTTTAATTTGAAGCATAAAGGAGTGCTGAATTAAAACAGGCCCTTTTAGCACGAAGGAGGTGACAAAGGAATGCTGGTTAAACCTAAAGGCACATAAACTTCAGTTATTGCTTTCATGCCACACAGCCTACAAGTTCAGGAATACTCACAGGTACTGCACTGCTACTAAGAGCTCCTCCAGCTCTTACAACGGGACTAATCTGCTCCTAAAAACACAACGATCAGAGCTTGTTTTCTCAGGCATTTTGCAGACACAAATAAAAGCAAAACATCATTCAAAGGAGAAAGATCCATCAGGCTCCACAATACACAAACTAAACCCCAGCTACACCATCATCAGCCACTGAATCATAGAATAGTTAGGGTTGGAAAGGACCTTAAGAGCATCCAGTTCCAACCCCCTGCCATGGGCAGGGACACCTCACACTAAACCATGGCACGCAAGGCTCTGTCCAACCTGGCCTTGGACACACTCTTAGCAATACACATCCATTTTATTACATGCTTGTCAACACAGGTTTGGGGGAAATAAAGCATTCTGGCTGCCTGAACGTGGTGAGAAGAAACTCTGGAAATCCCCCTTCACCAGAATAGAGCAAAGTTTATTCTCTCCTGAAGCAGTTTTGTTTTTAATATAAAAGAAAATCAAACTGAAGACCAGCCACTTGGCTGGTGCATTTCCACCCCATCATAACTACCACTTTCATCTTCTGGCCTGAGAGCTGAGACACACAGAGATTTAGATCATAGAATGTCTAATTATAAACCCATTAAAAGACTAGATTTACAATTACCCCTAGCCTCCTCTGCAAATCAAACAGAGCTGTCAGGTAGGAACAAAGAGTATTTCAACTTCTTCCCACCACACAGGATGAAGACCCCCCTCCCCACATGTGCTTTGGGATTCCCTTGGAACAGCCTCAATGGCCAACTGGTCTTTCCCAAACCAAAAGGCCCAACTCTATTCTGGGGCCACGGCGCAGCCAAGACAATCAGAGCTCTCTGCAGACCCAAGGTGAAGGATGATTCACTGTCTGCTACACTGGTGACAACATTGAGTACCATAAAAACAAGTTCATCCAACCTCTGAGCAGGCACTGGATGAGAACACGGTGGGAGCTGCACGGTGTGCCACAGGCACGCTGGATTCTGATGCCATACAGATCCACATGGATTCTGATGCCATACAGATTCTTATTGCTATGTTTGGCAAAAAAAAAAAAGGCCAAGATTAATGTTTAGAGCAAGGAATAAAACCAGAGCAGGAGACCTCTTAACTACAAGGCTAGTTCTCCCTCCTACTTCATTCCTCCACCAAGTGCCAGCAATGTTTCAAGAGCCCAATTCCCTTTCCCAAGGAGGTGTTCCAAGTTCTACCTATCTCATGGCCAACTTACCATGGCAAGAAATCCACATTTAGATTCATCTCTAAGAGAAGAACACTCAAATAGCAGACCTTTCCTTCCCGTAACCTGGAAATGGCCAAATATCAGCAAACTGCCTTCAAATAAACATTGCCAGAAGACAGCTCATAACAACTAAAAATATTTAGCAATAAAGAAAACATGCTCCCCAGCTCTGACGGGAGCATGATGTGTTAGCACGATGACTTAGTGCACTTCACCCCTGGGAACGGCTGGTGAACACGGCAAGCAGCCTTCATTCGAAATGATTTACTTCATTCCTTTACTCATCCTAACTGTCAATATTTTCTTCCTGCAGCTTTTTAGTAAAATAAAGCCCACTGTAACTGCTGTCAGACCATTCCATGACCACTATGACTCATAAATAAGAACACTTGATACAGATTCTTCCAGCAATATGAGAACCATCATCTTCAATGGAAGTAAAACCATTCTCTGCATTTTCTACCATATGGATGAATGCATAAAGGTGCTAGAAAGTAAAATAAATCTCTTTAAGTGGCCCCCAGAATCTTTTTGGGCTTGAGTTTTCTTTCCATTTTTCTTATGTGGTTCACATACATTGACAGGAAGAGCTATAGCAGAGTAAGATCTTCCAAAAACCATCTGGTGTGAGACACCAATCTGTAACCTGCTATCAACTGGACCAGCTCCGAGTCTTACCCCTGTACACACAAGGATTAGAAGAAGTTAACTGCTGACATTCAGAGCAGCTTAACAGCCACTTCTGAAGGAGCTCATACTGAAGATGGGTAAAGGTTCACCCATTTAGTTTTTCAGGTCTCCAATCAACCTTAACAGCACAACAAAACCACTTCATAGCACAATAAGAAAGTTCATTACACTGAGGAAGTTGACAGATTCAGCTACCTCAGGAAATAAAAACCAAACAAAACCCAAGATACAAACTGACAGCACCAAAGAAAGAAAACTCGACTTGGTTTAGTTTAAAAACCTTTGAACTGCAGACAAATGCTGCATCCCGGACCCCACTGAGCAGGTACCAGCACCACCAAGGGGTCACTGCAGGGCTGGGAGTGCATAACCACTGATGGATGGTGGCTGCTTAAATTGATGCTGCCACCAAAGGAAAGAATCACCAACCTGCAGCCCAAATTAGTATTTAAAAAGCTGGTTTTCCTTCAGATTTGTGGCTAAAGATGCAGAAAGAGCAAGAGGCCCATATTCAGAGAACCCCCTTTCCATCCAGCTCCTTACATCTGGATGAACCAAGAGCCAGGTGCCTTGAGAAAGTTCACCAAATCTAAGCCCAGCTAGGAGCAAGGCTTACAGATAAGAGACAGATTGGGATGGATTTTAAACCATATGAGCTCAGTCTGTTAAGGAACAGCAGGAGCACGACCCACCCTTGAGAATCGTGCTCTTAACTCCTTCCCTTATCCCCAGGGGTCTGACAAGACATTTTCAACTCCTATTTGCATCTTTACTACAGTCAAAGGCTTGTTGAAATCCATGATAAAAATCTCAGTTTAACCTCAGCTCAGGGTTGGATTTGTTTCAATGCATCTCCATGTTAATACTGCTCTACTTCCAAGCTATCTGGATGATGACTCGAAGCTGGGAGTGGGGTTGTAAGGGGCTCATCAACTACTAATCCAAGTGTTCTATGTATCTCAAGGATTATTTTCCAGTTTACTAACCTGATCTCCTTGTTGCAATAATCCTTTATCTATAGCAAAATCACCAGGCAGATCAAGGTGTGCAGCTCTGGCACTGCGCAACACATCAGCAGCTCATCCCTCCAGCATTTGTCCTGCTTCTCCACTAGGTTTTACAGCCTGCACCCAACTCCAGCTGCCAGCAAAACCACTACCCAAAGCAGCTATTTCTTTAAGCTTAAACTGGGTAATGTGAAGCTTGTTGAAGGCTGGCAATGTGAGGATAGAGGTATTAAGCTCCCTGTCAAAACGGAGCAGTTGGTGGTTTTATTTCAGCTGGTCAAGTTCAGCAGCAACAGGGAGCAGAGCATTTACCTGGCATTGAACTCGAGTCAGCTGCATGGGGCAAGTGATAAGATGGGAAAAAATTAACACACAAGGTCTTTACCTTGTGTTAAATACAATTGGAGAGTTCCCTTTCCTACAGGAACCTCTGCCTGCAGCTCCCTTTGGGGGCCAGCCCCTGCCTGCACTTACCTGGTGAAGGTAAAGGATGGGGTGTGTGGGACCCCTTTAACTGCATTGAGTCTGCATGGAGCTGTGCAAGCCTCTGCCTGCATCCTCATCCTTCATAAAGAAAGGCAAAAGCCACTCACAGCAGCAATGCATGCTCTAGGTAGGTAGATGTTACCCATTAAGCAAGGGGAACCTCACTGAAGGCTTTCACCAAGCTTTGTTCAGACATTTTTCTGCGCTACCTCCATCACTTATTGCTACCCAAAATGTACCTTAAAACAAAAGAAACCCCCACACGATATGGGTCTTGAAAAACAACAAAAAAAGCAGAAAACAGAAATATTTATTGCTGCGATTTGCCCTAGGGAAAGAGAAATAAAAAAACCACAAAAAATGCCCCCAAAACATCGCCCCCCGCCCGCAAAAAAATAAAGAAAAAACCCCGAAATAAATAAATAAAAAGGGGGTTAAAAAACCACCACCTCAAAGCGCATCACGAGAACGGGATCAGAGAAGAAAGCGTGGCCACCCCTTCAGGACCAGGGAAGAATTAACCTGCATTTCTCCATCCCAATTGCGAGCTTGCGGCTCTGCCACCCATTTTGTGTCGGATTAAACACATAAAATAACAATAATGCCAGGAAAAGCAAAGCCCAGCCGGTAACAGCACAGAGCAAAGCAGGCCCCGCACGCAGGGCGCAGGTTCCCCCCTCAGGCATCCCCCATGCCCAGGTAGGTGCCTCCCTTTCCCCTCCGCCCAACGCGGGCTGCAGGCTCCGCCGAGCCGGGGAACGCCGGCCCGGAGCCCACGGGGAAGGTTTAAAATAGAAAGAAGGGAATAAAAAAGGGAGAGGAGGAGCGGCACGGCCGGCGCGGAGCCCCGCGGCCAAGGTGAAGGGCGGCCGGGCAACATGGTGGAAGGCTGCCGGGGAGCCCCGACCCCACCTCCCCGCGAGGAGGAAGGGGAGAGCCGCGGCTGTGTGGGGATGGAGGGCGGCTCTCGGCGTGGGGTGGGGCGGGATGGAGGTGACAGCGAACGGCAGCGGTGACCGCGGCGGGCTGAGGGGAGAGCGGTGCCCGCAGGGGAAGGCACCGGCGAGGCTGCACCCTCCATGCGGCGGCATCTCTAAGGGAAGGGGATGGGGACACGCTCACCTGCCATAGCGGGCTGAGGGCGGCAATGGCGCTGCAGGCTGCGGCTCCGCTCGGGCGGCAGCGGCGAGTGCGGCGAGGCCGGGGCGGCCCCGGCAGGCAGAGCACGGGGCGGGGCGGGCCGGGCCTTGCTCCGCCCCCGACAAGATGGCGCCCGCCGCCCACCCTTCTCCCGTCAGGGCCCGGGTGTCATGGCGGCCCCGGGGCAAGGCTTCAACCGCGGGGGGGTTTTGTCTGCGGGGGTCCCTCCTCAGCCCCCAGGAAGATGGCGTTTGGCTGCTGTCACCACAGGCAGCCTCGGCCATGGCCCTTCCTGAGGTGGGGTGTTTTCGGGTTGGTTTTAGTTGGGTTTTCTGTGCCCCTCTGGAAAAATCCATCGTTTATAATAGAGGGAGCTTAGGGGGCAAAAAGCAGTTGATTCTGCCCCAAAGATGGCACCTGCACCACACACATCCCTCTAGCCTAACACTGCAGTTTAGGAAGCTTTTAACAGGGACAAACCTGGTGTGATCGCTCACCAGCACATGGGGTTGAGTGTTTTCACATCCACCGCTTCCATACCCCATGGCGACGATGGGCACCGCCTCCCACATCCCGCTTGGCACAGCCCGAAATTCCCAATGGGGTCTGGTAACATCAGCTCGCTCTAACCTGGCTTCTGCCCTGTCCAGGAGGTGCAGTTCGTTGATGTGCCAAGAGCTGAACCTTGGGGTGCTTGGTGCTTTTCTGGGAAGCCAGAGCTGAGCCCTCTTTCTGCCTTCTTTCTGCCTCAATTCTACCTCCTTTCTGCCTCCATTCTGGCTCCATTCTACCTCCTTTCTGACTCCTTTCTGCCTTCTTTCTGCCTCCATTCTACCTCCTTTCTGCCTCCATTCTACCTCCTTTCTGACTCCTTTCTGCTTCCATTCTGGCTTCATTCTACCTCCTTTCTGACTCCTTTCTGACTTCTTTCTGCCTCCATTCTACCTCCTTTCTGACTCCTTTCTGCCCCCTTTCTGCCTCCATTCTACATCCTTTCTGCCTCCTTTCTGACTCCATTCTACCTCCTTTCTGACTCCTTTCTGCCTTCTTTCTGCCTCCTTTCTACCTCCTTTCTGCCTCCATTCTGGCTCGATTCTACCTCCTTTCTGCCCCCTTTCTGCCTCCATTCTGCCTCCTTTCTGCCTTCTTTCTGCCTCCATTCTACCTCCTTTCTGCCTCCATTCTACCTCCTTTCTGCCTCCATTCTTGGCTCCATTCTGCCTCCTTTCTGCCTCCATTCTGCCTCCTTTCTGCCTTTTTTCTGCCTCCATTCTACCTCCTTTCTGCCCCCTTTCTGCTTCCATTCTGCCTCCTTTCTGCCTTCTTTCTTCCTGCTTTCTACCTTCTGTCTCTATCTCTTTTCCACCTCCATTCTGCCTCCTTTCCACCTCCTTTGTACCCCCCCTCAATTCCTACCTTTTCTCCCTTCCACAAAACCCCCTCCAAGCCCCACACTGCTCATTTCCAGTAGGTATCCTTGAGCTGACACTGCCTGGCGCTGAGCTCTCTCCCTAGCAGCCCCTTCCTTATTTGATGCAGGTGCCTGGTAGCTGGCAGTCAATAGCAGCGCCCGTGCTCCCGCACCAGTGACACTCATTGGAACCATTGCATCAGTTGTACCCAGACCTGCAATTCTTTATTGATCTTTCAGGTCTTTGCCTTTCCAGCTGCTGTTTGCACAGGTCAGTACCAGGAATGTTCATCCAGTACCAGCAGGCTGACCCCTTCCATCCCCTTGCCCCTCTAAAGAGGGGTTCATCAGATCCCATTAGAACCCAGGAGCTTAAGAGCAGAGACCCTACAAGGACTCTGGAGCGTTTGTGCCTCTCATCCTCCTTGTGCATGTATTTTCTCCATGTTCACTACAGTACACTCCTTAAACTTCTACCTGGTCTTCAAGTGAACCACGTGGAGAAGTGGATAGGACACAGATAAATCACAACACATCTCTCTTGTGCTGCTCTAGATTATGAACCAGAGAATAGTTAGGGTTGGAAAGGACCTTAAGATCATCCAGTTGCAACCCCCTGCCATGGGCAGGGACACCTCACACTGAACCATGCCGCTCAAGGCTCTGTCCAACCTGGCCTTGAACACCACCAGGGATGGAGCATTCACAGCTTCCCTGGGCAACCCATTCCAATGCCTCACCCCTCTTACAGTAAAGAACTTCTTCCTTATATCCAATCTAAACCTCCCCTGTTTAAGTTTTAACCCATCACCCCTTGTCCTATCACTACAGTCCCTAATGAAGAGTCCCTCCCCAGCATCCCTATAGCCCCCTTCAGACACTGGAAGCTGCTCTGAGGTCTTCACACAGCCTTCTCCAGGCTGAACAGCCTGAATATTGATCCCTTAGACATTATTCAATGCCTGGCCTTATCCCAAACCTATCCATGGAGTTAGTGCAGCTTTTAAATGGTAATAGCCTTTGTTTGTTAGGGTAGAGGAGCGTGGTGCTGTGATGTAAGGGCCATTTTAGTAATGCAAGATTGATTGGGACTGCAGCAGTTTTGCTGTTGACAGGAGTTTGTGCAGGAAGATGGATCAGATGCATTCAGTGATGCAGCCTTTCTGTGTTCAGAAATTACTGGCAGAGACACAGCTTTTCTTTATGAGTGTTATAATCTCCTAACCCTCTGCTGATGGAAGGTAGCAGAGTGAAATACGGGTAACGCAAGAGAGCTGCAAGGGACAACACAAGCCATACAAGAGAAGTGCAGACCGGGGCATCAGTCAGATTGAAATGAAACAGCGAAAGAGACCTTGGGGTCATGACAATCCCAAGGACAAGCAGGGGAAAGATGATAAAAGTGGATTTAGTGCTCCAAGAATTGGATTTGACGTAGCTTAACCATGGGCTCAAGCCCAGCAGATGCATTTTTCAGCCTTTTGTTCCTCTTAAATAGGTAAATTACCTTCCAGGTGGCCTCTGTGCTGTGAAGGTCCAGGAAATGCCCTGGCATTTCACTCCTTCAGGGAGCCAGAGCCCATTTTATGCTGCAGAAGAAGTGATAACTGTTTTACTGGAATACTTGACATGTATAATTTCTGTTATTAAAACGCAGTGACGAACCATGAGGTGTTTATAAAGATGTTCAGTCACTTTCTGCCTGAATGATTCACAGGACCATAAAACAGTCGGAAGAATCGGAGACACAGGATGTGCATGTGCATGTCCTTCATAACGCTGTCAAGAGAAATCAGCAATCATTGATCGTCTCTTGTGCAGAACTAAAGGAGACCCAGTCCCTTTGGTATTTTCTTCACTATGGTACCTCTAATCTAGGAGTTTATTTCAGCTCCTCAAAGCTCACTTGAGGATTTACCTGCTGCATCTAGACAGGTAGCCACAATAGAAGGCTTACACCAGTCTTCCCACTTCAACCAGTACAGCATACCTGTCCATCAAAATGAGATAGCCTGAATTCCTGCTGTAATTGCCTTAACTGGCCTAAGTTCCTGTAACGTAGACGTTCTTCAGCTCACACTGCACTCCTCGAGTCCAAATTCCTCCCTCTCTTCTTTGTACTAATCCCTCATTACATTTGCTTTCAGAACTCAGGATAAATATTATAGTGTTAATGTAATCACAGTAGTAACGAGTAGAGAGCGCATGAGCAAATAGTGCTTTGTGATGTCTGCCAGCCTGAATCACCACAACATCACCACAGATGCAAGCAGGGACTTGATTTTGTGGTGAGGTTGTGCCCATGTGGAGCTGCAAGTCTTTGTGAGGAGATATTGTTGTAGTGGAGCCTTTAGGCTGGGCTCCGTGTCCTTCTCTGCAGCCAAAGAACACAAGACTATTGCGATAGACGGAGGTAACCTTTACTGAGTGTGCTCCCCAAGCTTTCCAGCTTGATGTTGTTTGTTTCTTCATGGCTCTGTGCAAACAGAATGGTAAGGACAGGGCTATGGAAGGCCAGGGTTTTCTTCAGATGCAGCATGGACGTTAGCAGCATAAATTTAACCGAGACTGAAATGTTTTTGGCTGAAATCCCTTCTGTTTACTCAATATTTCCATGTTAAACCAAAGTGCTGCCTCAAACAGGGATGTGAATCATTGATCTGAGTCCGGGAGCTGCAAAAGACCAAATCCAAACTTCACATCCAGTTCGATCCAAGGATGCTCGGTTTGGGTCTGGGATCCATGGCTCATTTCCAGTTCCCTGGCTGGGTTTTTTGTGTGTGTTTTGGGTTGGAGGGTTGTTTTACACAAGGAAATATCCTGCCCCCCATCAGATCAACACTATTTTATGTGATTCCTATGGATGGATCCAGGAGTTAAGACCAACCCAGCACACATGTATATGGATAAAGGAATAGCTTTTACTGCGTTGCACAAAATAGGAACGAAACCTCTGCTGTTTCAACAGCTTCTTGGAAGGTGGAAATAAACCTCCCCAAGAAAAGAGTTAAGAGCTCACCAGCAGTGATGTTTTGGCTTCTTTTCCCAGAATATGGAGTAGTAACTGTAATGGAAAGAGAACATGGAACAGGACCGACCCTGGGCTTCTCTTGTACCAGGTAAAGAGGGGAAGAGTGAATAACCCTTCTTAAACAATGCTGTCTACCACCATCTAGTGGAAAACACCACCTCGGGTTCCTCCACCTACCTAAATGCGTAGTTTCTCTTGGGGAAAGTCATGAGTCAATTGCTGTTTCCCCTCTTATCTTATATGGAAATTGAGACAGTGAAAAAACTGATCTCTAAGAACTATTTCTAAACCTGAACAGCCTCGTCTGAGCTAAATCCTCACTTGTGCCACCTGCAAAAAGGAGGCAGGAAAACCTAAGGAGAATTCTATGAAGTTTAATTAGTGCAAAGTGCTCTTAATAGCAAATAGGGCTTTTGGTCCAAGGATCTCAGCCGACTTTGATCCAAGTACTCAAATTACTGAGGCTTCAGCCAGCGATCCAAGAGGCAGATGTACTGCTGTGCTTGCTATATAGGGAGATAAATGGCAGGGGCTGCAAAGTTAAGAGTTGCCTCAATTCACATCATAAATCAATAGGGGAGGAGGAGAAAACAATCTGCATGGTTGCAGGATTATTGGATCCCTG